CCATTTTTCATAAACAAGGCCTATATAAAATGTTCAGAACAAAATCCAGTTCAAAACAAAGAACAAAATCAAAAATGTTTTTGACCTTAAATGTAGTTAATTATTCCATGGTCCTCTCTCCATCAAAGGGTGAGAAAAATGGATAAATCTTCATATATTTGTGGTCACATCACCAATTTTGTTTAAGGTTGCCTAGAAGCAAAGGGTGGCTCAACTTCCCCGTAGACTCAGATTACCCCGCCTCCCCTATGCCATACAGTCACATGCTAGACCTGATAAAGTATGTTATAGCTCAAAAAGTCAATAAAGTCAATATTTGTCTGTCTGATCTGTCAGTTAGATTTGCTAAAGCACCTTTGTTTTCCCCAGATGTAACCTTTACCTCACTGAAAACTTATTTGTAGAATGTTTATGAATTGAATAAAGACATTTTCACAACATTTTAAACCACAGACTGCTCCATTTTCTCACTGACAGAAATGTCTTGTGAAAACAAAATATAAGTAGAAACAGACCCTAGGTTACTTATGTAACCATGGTTCCCCGAGGGAACGAGACGCTGCGTCGAAACGCTTTGGGAACGCCTCTGCGTGACCACGTTCTGAAGCACGTGTCGAATCAGTCCAATAGAGAAGCGAGACGTCACAAGCGGGGTGATGTGAGCAACCAGGAAGCATAAAAGCGCATCCGGCAAAGCGCATGTTAGCTTCTGATGAAGTGAGCACCTTCAGGGATGCAGGGAGTATGGCAAGGAGATGCAGCATCTCATTCCCTCGGGGAACCATGGTTACATACGTAACCTAGGGACATTCCCCTTCAGGATCTCGAGCTGCGTCAAAACGCTTTGGGAACGAGAATACCCACTGCGCAATACTAACAAATCCCTCTCTGGTGTGTATCTGCCGAACACATCAAGATGAGAGAACTTGGGACCCTGGAATAGATGCCAGGTCCAGGCTGTCGAAGTGGACAAATGTGTGCGGAGAGGACCAGCATGCCACAACACAAATGTCCTGCAGGGCCACGCCCAATGAGAAGGCCTTGGAGGCGCCATACTCCGGGTCGAGTGCGCTCTGACCCCCATAGGTGACGGGAGGCCAGAGGACCTGTAGGCCTGTAAAATGGTCTCACCCACTCACCTACTTAGAGTCTGATTGGTCGCCGGACATCCTTTCTTAGGCGGATCAAAGCAAACAACCAGTTGATCTGCCTTATGCCACGGGGCAGCTCTGTCTGAGAGAGAAGGTCCCTACTGATCGAAATCTCCAGGGGAGAGCCATCGAGAAGGGACACAAGGTCCGAGAACCATACTCGAGCTGGCCAGAATGGGGCTACTAGCAGAAGTCTGACCCCGTCCCGGCATACTCTCTCCAGAATACCCAGGAGCAAAGCGAAAGGGGGAAAAGCATACATACGAAGCCTCGGCCACGTCTGCACCATGGCGTCCAGCCCAAGCGGAGCTGCATGAGGGAGAACCAGAGCAGACAGTGTGTTGTTTCCTGCGATGCAAAAAGATCCACTTCCGCCTGGCTGAACTCCCTCCAAAGGAGCTCCACCACCTTGGGGTGGAGCCTCCATACCCCGGGCCTCAGCCCCTGTCTCGACAGGATGTCTGCTCCCAGATTCAGGTGCCAGGGATGTAAACTGCTCTGAGTGAGAGGAGTTTTCCCTGAGCCCACAGGAGGATCTGGTGGGTCAGCCTGTATAGGGGCACAAGAGTAAACCCCCCTGCCGGTTGATGTAGGAGACTACCGATGTGTTGTCTGTGCGGACAAGCATATGATGACCCCTCAGGTCTGGAAGGAAGTATTTCAGTGCACGAAACACAGCCAGTATCTCAAGGAGCCCCCAATGCCGGGCCTTGAGACAGGAACCAAGGTTTCCTCCACATGTCTAAGGCACGTAAGCATTGCCGCGTGACCTTGATCATGCAAAGCGGATTTCCCCTCGGGGAAAGCCCCTTGGTCCTGAGCTACCACAGCAAAGGTCTCATGTACAGCAGGCCAAAAGGTATCACGTTGGACGCAGCTGCCATCAGACCTAACAGTCTCGGAAACTGTTTGACAGTGAGTGACTGGCGTTCTCTCACTCTCCTAATGGCTGTGAAAATAGATTTGATATGAGCAGGAGACAGATGTGCCTGATAAGTGGTTCTCTGTAGTGGAGAAAGCACACTTTTCTTGGCGTTTAGCCTTAACCCCAGCTCTTTCATATGGGCGAGGATGACATCTCGATGCCGAGCCGCCAGCTGCTCCTATTGAATTAGTATCAACCAATTGTCGATGTAGTTGAGTATGCGGCAGATGTAGTGGAGTCGCAGCAGAGCCAGAGCAGTATCCACACACTTGGTGAAAGTGTGGGGTGAGAGTGACAGGCCAGGGGAAAAACCCGATACTGGTATATTTCGCCCTCAGAGCAAACCTCAGGAACGTCCTGTGTTGAGGGAGGATTTTTTTTTCCCCCCTTATCTTTCTCTGTACAGCACTTTGGTTCCAGTCGTGGTGTTGAAAGTGCTTTATAAATAAAGTTTGAGTTGAGTTGAGTTGAGGATGGATAAGTGGAAGTATGTGTCCTTGAGATCTATCGTGGCAAACCAGTCCTCGGACCTGATTTGAGACACGATCTGTTTGATAGTGAGCAAACCGAAGGCGCTTGATTGCGCCGTTTAGCAGATGCAGATCTATGATCGGATGCAACCCCCCCATCCTTCTTCGGAACGATGAAGTAAAGGCTGTAGAACCCAGACTCTCTCTTGAGAGAGGAGGAAGATGTTCTATGGCCTCTTTCCCTGCTCGGGGCTGTAAGAAACTATAGTCTGCCCCGACCCAGCTTTCACTCCAAGAGGTGTTTTAGAACGTGTGGGTCTGAAGAGACGGGATGAGTATCGTTTAAAAATGGAAGGCCCTAGCATGAAGACTGCGATCTAGCACACAAGAAACATTCGTCTAATTTACTCATGGGATGAACTTCCTGCTCCTCGGCGGGCCAGTAGATGTTTAACTTGGCTACAGCACAAGTCACAACCTCCACAAGCTCCTCATACGCGAGGGACTGTGGTGGTGAGTCCATAGTCTCCTCCATGTCGACGCTCATCCCATCAACCTCCTCAGAGGAAGATAGATGAAGCGTCTGTCTCTCTCACTCTGGGGAGAAGAAACTGCAGCACGTGCTTCCGAATCCTGAGAGGGAGCCGCGGATCTAGCAGGTGAGGACCGAGATAAGGACGAGCCACACTGTGATATATTATAGCTTATCTAATAGAGTGTTTTCGACTGACTGATGCTTTGCAAACATTCACACACACACACACACACACACACCACAACGTGCTCGCTGAAGAGCAGAAGCTAACATATGCTTTGCCGGATGCGATTTTATGCTTCCTGGTTACTCACATCACCACGCTCATGACGTCTCACTTCTCTATTGGATTCCACACGTACTTCAGAACGTGGTCATGCAGAGGCGTTCCCACTCTTCATCATCTCGTTCTTCTAATGTACACATATCCCTCTCCTCTTCACTTAAATCCGAGTTACAACTTGTACCTAGTATACTAGCCTTCCTTTTCTTCTTCTGATTTAAATTTTTACTGCCGACCTGTTTTCCCTTCCCACCTTTCTCCTTATCTTGTCCTCTTCCATCTCCTTCTTCCATCTCCAGTCCAGTCACGGTACAGCCATGTCAAACCGCCGTCTATCAATCCAATGAAGTGAAATCTCGGCTCTTGGATACCCAGCTCCCGCTTGGTGACGCGACCTCGAGGATGTGGCGTAGAGCTCGAGCCTTCTGGCCATATCCTCACAAAAAGCTCGCCAATTTCATTGGCCTTTTCTCAGTGATGTCAGAGGTGTCTAGGCCCCCAAGTGCGACCCCTAGTGTCTGAACTTCGACACAATGTCAAAGTGACTGACTGAAATGGAACAAAGGGTGTTTTATAAAGCCTGTTTCACAATAAGTTAAGGCTGTATAAATATTAATCAACTTCAATATTCGTCAGATCTAGCATGTGACTGTAAGGCCTACAGATAATACTAAACATACAAAACACCTACACTGTAAATATGTGAAAAACTGGTAGCAGTGGTAGCAGGGGAAGTCGTGGCCTAATGGTTAGAGAGTTGGACTCCTAACCCAAAAGGTTGCAGGTTCGAGTCTTGTACCGGCAGGGATTGTAGGTGGGGGGAGTGAATGTACAGTGCTCTCTCCCACCTTCAATGTCATGACTGAGGTGCCCTTGAGCAAGGCACTAAACCCCCAACTGCTCCCTGGGTGCTGCAGCATAAGTGGCTGCCCACTGGTGTGTGTGTGTGTGTGTACATGTACACACACACTTTGGATGGGTTAAATGCAGAGCACTAATTCCAAGTATGGGTCATCATACTTGGCCACATGTCTTGTAATTTTTTTTTTATAACTAATTCTCATTAATTTGCAACTAGATGTCTACTAACTCTCAGAGTAGACTGTTAGGGTAGGTTTAGGGTTAGTAGAATAAGTTGACAAAGAAAGTGTTAGAAGATAAGCAGACAGACAGATCGAAATAAAGTGTTACCTTTTAGTGTAGTGTACATTAACTTTACATACATACATTATTTTAAAATACCATAATACATGTATAGTATATGTATAATTAGTTTACTGTAATATTAATAAAGAAAAATAAAGCAATTTTCTGTAAATATTGTTAATATTTTCTACATAATTTGCCCTATTTGAAATACTCTAAACTAGACTATACTATAAATTCTTAGATTTTTTTTCTTCCAAATTTTAATGTGAAAATATTTGCACTAACTCCTAAGAAATTTTCCAGACAGTTCCTATAAAAATAGGAAGTGTTTGCTCAACATCACATTGTTTACACAGATGTCTTAACTTTCAAAATATGTTTAAGGAAACATTTGCAGGCCGATGCTTATCTGATTGAATTACCAGAAAACAGACCATATAAATATGGATCAGCTAGTCAAAAGCTACATGTACACTTTTTACAGCAACAGCAGAACCATGTTCTCTCTCAGTGTCCTCCTGCTTACCTGTAAGTTTCTTTCATCTAATTAAATTGAAAAATCAGATGCACGGTGAACACTAATGTTTAGTTGCACTTTTAGACATTTGAACAGCTCTGTTCTAGGTTAAATTTAGGGTTGAGAATAGTGTGAATGGCTTTAAGATTAGCATTGCACAGGGATTTTAATCATTTATCTTCTGTTGTTTTCTTACAGTGGTGCTTCTGAACTCCAGATTGCTGATATCTGCAGGTATTTCATTTATCCTTGAACCACATCAACAATCAACAGTTAAACAAAGATTACTTGACTGAGAAGTCCAGATTTAAATGTCACAGCTGTTTTTTGTGTGAGTGGGTTGTGGTGTGAATATGTCACTATATGTTTGTTAAATTAATATTATTAACATTATTAGGTTAGTTCAGGTTATAAAATGTCATGTGGCACGACTCCCCAAAAACATAATATTTATGAATGAATAATTCATGATATTTGTAATATGAAATACATAAAACCAACATAAAATTACATTTCTAAGAACTTTGCACATAAGTTTTGAACTATATTTTTTTCTCAATATTGGAGAGTCTTATATGTAATTGACCCATTTACTTCAAAGGGGTCATATGATGCGATTTCAATTTTTTCTATTTGGAGTGTTACAAGCTCTTGGTGCATAAAGAAGATCTGTAAAGTTGCAAAGACTAAAGTCTCAAATCCAAAGAGATATTCTTTATAAAATTTAAGAGTCAGCCACGCCTACCTAAAACGGCTCGTTCTAACACGCCCCCACATGTCTACGTCACAATGTGGGAAGATTTGCATAACGCTGCCCAAATATTCACGCAAAGAAAGAAGGCGTAACTTTTATTCTCACTGTAGTATTGTTGCCGCCGCCGCCATGTCATGAAGACGCTGTGTTTCATTGTGAAAGCAAAACTACTTTGTTTGGCCTTCCAAAAGAGGGCGATATCTGCTTCGTCATGCCTAGAGCTGATCCGTGCTGGTCGCTGAGGAAATACATCAACTTCGCGCTGTGAAGATCAGGGCGACCACATTAGAAGTTATTGTATGTGGACTGAAAGGATAATTACAAACAAATTGTGTGTGTTAGCGTGTGTTGTGCATCTGCTACTTACATTTTTCCTCCTGGTCTTGAGTTACCAGCACTCATTTCATCAAAACAACCTTCTCTAATATTGCCCCATAATTCACCCGTTCACTGTCACCAGTGGAGAGGCTACATGTCCGTGATTAAAACTAAGACAATGTTATGAGTATTTCTCATTGACTTCGACACCAGGTGCACAAACAGTAACAGGGCAGAGTTTAAACGATCGAGTGCAAATCAGGAAGTAAGGTGGCCGAATAACGGCCGCTGCTGATGCAAAGAGTCTCTTAAGATGTGTGAATGGAATGTGTGTGTATTTCAGTGGATGTAGTCCTTCGTGTGTTTGTTAGGAGAGGACGGACAGCGTGACGCTTCCCCGCTGCTTCTTCAGTACGGCCACGGCCTGCTCGTGTGTGACGCCCTCCAGACTCTCTCCATTGACCGACAGCAGCTGGTCGCCGCGCTTCAGATGCCCATCTACCGCCGCTGCCCCCTGTAGGTAAGAGGAGGACAGGATTATTTATTCATTTACAGAATTAAAGGTGACCAACTGACCAGTATTACACTCCAAAATGCAGATTATTAAAGGGATAGTTCACCCCCAAAATTAAAATTATGTCATTAATTACTCACCCCCGTGTTGTTCCAAACCCGTAAGACCTTCGTTCATCTTCGGAACATAATTTAAGATATTTTTGATGAAATCTGAGAGCTCTCTGACCCTCCCATAGACAGCAAGGTAACTACCACGATCAAGGTCCAGAAAAGTAAGATGATTGACAAAGTAGTCCGTGTGACATCAGTGGTTCAACTGTAAAGTTACAAAGCTACTTTTTTGTGCAAAGAAAACAAAAATAACGACTTTATTCCACATTTTCGTCTCTACTGCGTCACTTGTGGACACGCGTTCACGACAGTATCATGACGCGAGCGTGTGGCGGCGCTGACCCAGATCCGGCATGTTGACGTAATTTCCGTCATGTTCTGAAGGTGAACGAAGGTCTTACGGGTTTGGAACAACACGAGGGTGAGTAATTAATGACAGAATTTTCATTTTTGGGTGAACTATCCTTTAAAGGGGTCATAGGATGCGATTTAAATTTTTCCTTTCTCTTTGGAGTGTTACAAGCTCTTGGTGCATAAAGAAGATCTGTAAAGTTGCAAAGACTAAAGTCTCAAATCCAAAGAGATATTCTTTATAAAAGTTAAGAGTCAGCCACGCCTACCTAAAACGGCTCGTTCTAACACGCCCCCACATGTCTACGTCACAATGTGGGAAGATTTGCATAACGCTGCCCAAATATTCACGCAAAGAAAGAAGGCGTAACTTTTATTCTCACTGTAGTATTGTTGCCGCCGCCGCCATGTCATGAAGACGCTGTGTTTCATTGTGAAAGCAAAACTACTTTGTTTGGCCTTCCAAAAGAGGGCGATATCTGCTTCGTCATGCCTAGAGCTGATCCGTGCTGGTCGCTGAGGAAATACATCAACTTCGCGCTGTGGATCGCCGGATCGACTTTCGCTGTGGACGAAGTGGAGTCCAGCCCGGGGTCGTCACATGTGGTTGCCGCAAGCCCGCTGGCCACTCCTTCATCGAATCCGCTGGCCGCGCTGTTCTCAAGCCCACCCACCTCTGCTCACTCTAGGCCACCGTGTGTGATGCTGTGTGTTTCGTTGTGAAAGCGAAACTACTTTGTTTGGTCTTCCAAAAGAGGACACGACTAGAAATCAGTGGTTAAGTTGTATTTACAACACTGTTCCAGAACAGTTCAACCCAAATATTCAGATATGTGCAGCACATTTTATGGAGGACTGTTTCCTGATCCTGGGAGAGTAGAC